CACACACACAAGTAAAATACAGTCAACAACAACACAACTCACACACACTAAGTAAAATACAGTCAGCAACACAACTTATACACACTAAGTAAAATACAGTCAGCAACACAACTCATACACACTAAGTAAAATACAGTCAGTAACACAACTCACACACACAAGTAAAATACAGTCAGCAACACAACTCACACACACAAGTAAAATACAGTCAGCAACACAACTCACACACACAAGTAAAATACAGTCAGCAACACAACTCATATACACAAGTAAAATACAGTCAGCAACACAACTCACACACACAAGTAAAATACAGTCAACAACAACACAACTCACACACACTAAGTAAAATACAGTCAGCAACACAACTTATACACACTAAGTAAAATACAGTCAGCAACACAACTCACACACACTAAGTAAAATACAGTCAGCAACACAACTCACACACACTAAGTAAAATACAGTCAGCAACACAACTCACACACACAAGTAAAATACAGTCAGCAACACAACTCACACACACAAGTAAAATACAGTCAGCAACACAACTCACACACACTAAGTAAAATACAGTCAGCAACACAACTCACACACACAAGTAAAATACAGTCAGCAACACAACTCACACACACTAAGTAAAATACAGTCAGCAACACAACTCACACACACAAGTAAAATACAGTCAGCAACACAACTCACACACACTAAGTAAAATACAGTCAGCAACACAACTCACACACACAAGTAAAATACAGTCAGCAACACAACTCACACACACTAAGTAAAATACAGTCAGCAACACAACTCACACACACAAGTAAAATACAGTCAGCAACACAACTCACACACACTAAGTAAAATACAGTCAGCAACACAACTCACACACACTAAGTAAAATACAGTCAGTAACACAACTCACACACACAAGTAAAATACAGTCAGCAACAACACAAGTCACACACACAAGTAAAATACAGTCAGCAACACAACTCACACACACAAGTAAAATACAGTCAGCAACAACACAACTCACACACACAAGTAAAATACAGTCAGCAACACAACTCACACACACAAGTAAAATACAGTCAGCAACAACACAACTCACACACACTAAGTAAAATACAGTCAGCAACACAACTTATACACACTAAGTAAAATACAGTCAGCAACACAACTCACACACACTAAGTAAAATACAGTCAGCAACACAACTCACACACACTAAGTAAAATACAGTCAGCAACACAACTCATATACACAAGTAAAATACAGTCAGCAACACAACTCACACACACTAAGTAAAATACAGTCAGCAACAACACAACTCACACACACAAGTAAAATACAGTCAGCAACAACACAACTCACACACACAAGTAAAATACAGTCAGCAACACAACTCACACACACAAGTAAAATACAGTCAGCAACAACACAACTCACACACACTAAGTAAAATACAGTCAGCAACACAACTTATACACACTAAGTAAAATACAGTCAGCAACACAACTCACACACACTAAGTAAAATACAGTCAGCAACACAACTCACACACACTAAGTAAAATACAGTCAGCAACAACACAAGTCACACACTAAGTAAAATACAGTCAGCAACAACACAACTCACACACACAAGTAAAATACAGTCAGCAACACAACTCACACACACTAAGTAAAATGTGATGAAATCTTAGAAAACAAGATGGCTGAACAGCCATTACATACAGCACCTGCTCTTGGTTTTACATTCTTTTCTACCTGTGGACAGTTCTGTGGTATCTATGTGACAGAACACTCCATCTTCTAACTCATCTGTGTCTGTGTGCAGATGGTCACAAGACAGTGATATCTGAGCACCTCACGGCCACTCGTATCCAAAACTGCCACTCACCCAGACAGCTTTCTCCACCCACACCCCTTGCCAGGGAGACAGCAGAGTGACTCACAGGCCAAGTGTACTCCTCCACACTGTCCTCCTTTAGAGGCTTTGGGATATCTGCACAAGCTCCTAACATGGGTTGGTCTGCAGAGGTTAAATCTGTTGGAGGGAGCACTAATTCCAAAGGCATCCAAGTTGTTGGCCAATCTGGACCTGACATCGCTCAGAATGAAAACTACAGTAACTATTAGAACATAGGAACAGCCCAACGCTCAGATCTTTCCTGGAACTGTGAGGGGACAAGGAGGTTGCTATGAGCTGGGGCCAGAACAGAGACAACAGCTGAACCACCATCAGGAACTCTCGATCTTGCTTTTGAGACAGCAGACGGCTTTCCTGGCTCGCTTATTTACTTAGTATGTGGGTGGTTTTCCCGGTGTCTGCAGAACGCCCCTGTTGGAGTGTAAAGCCACTGTGTAAATCTTGGAGACCAGAGGGCCAGGTACTTCACATCTGTCCCCACACGCTGGAGGCTTGAGCATGTGCTGATCTGAGAGTCAGAGTCAAGAAGGGTGTCATTCGCTCTGGCAGCATCGAATGTCAGCAGTGGCAGCACACAGTGTCCCCGCACACCGTGCCAACAGCTGTGACCGGCCAGATTGCCCCAAAGAAACAAGCTGCAAATCTGTATGAGGCCAGTTCGGCATAAGGAAATAAGTGACTTTTCTAAAATTGGATTAGAATCAATGAAATAATACTTTATAAATAATTCTTAATTCTCTGGCATTTCATTCTCAAAGTTGCTGGAGTATGTGGCTTAATACACATGTCCTGGTCGAACGATAAAAATGTAACTGTCCAGTTTGGTACACAGTGAGTTCCAGGCCAGCCAGAGCTACACAGTGAGACCCTGTCTCAACAACCAAACAACAAAGACAAACAAATAATTGAAATAAAAATAGTGATCGTGGGACCAAGACTTAGCTCAACAAGGGGGTTCAGAGGATGAAGGCCATTGCTCCAATTCCGGTGACGGCACCTGGTGTCCTGACATCTACACTCACTGTAGTGTGTGCCCCCCCAAAGCTTTAAAAGACTCAAAATAAAAAAACTTTTTTTTTTTTTTTTTGGTTTTTTGAGACAGGGTTTCTCTGTAGCTTTGGAGGCTGTCCTGGAACTCACTTTGTAGACCAGGCTGGCCTCGAACTCACAGAGATCCGCCTGCCTCTGCCTCCCGAGTGCTGGGATTAAAGGCGTGGGCCACCAACGCCCGGCCAAAATAAAAAAACTTTAAAAGACTCATAAGATAATGAGAAATGTCATTTGCACCTATGTTCAGAAAGTGCCAACGAATATACAGAAGAGACCAACACCAGCATGTGTTTTGGAGAATGTTGAAAATTTCATTCATTGGTTCACTTTATTGTTTTTGTTGCGATCATTTGTAAATCCTGATAATCGTTACCACTCTCCACATTCATGTCTGAAAAGCTCAGAAAATCAGCTTATCTTATGTTAAGACAGCCAATGAAACTATAATAGGTTCTTTTTTATGCCAAGGGTTAAAAAGAAGAGGGTCTGGTGATGTAGCCCAGTCGGTTGAGTCCTTGCTGAGCTATATTTATATATATTTATAGCCCTGGGCTCACAGCACATCAACCAGGTGTGGTGGCATCTATCTGCAGTCCCAGGACTGGGGACACAGTGACACGAAATCAGAAATTCAATGTCGTCCCTGGCTGCAAAGTGATTAGCCTAGGATATATGAAAGCTTGTCTCAGTAATAATAATAATAATAATAGTAATAACAACAACAGTAATAAAGGAAGGAAGCATGCATTCATGCATACCGGGGAGAAGACAGGAAGAAGGGCCATGGGCAAAGGAGGGAATAGCTCACATCTGGTTGAAGCTATCCTGATGCGCAATTGCATTTAGTCTATTTATTGCTAAATGACTTCATAGGCCCTTCACATTTATTTATTTTTTAATTAGGGAAAGGGGTCATAAAACGGGAAAAGAGAAAGCGGAGACCAGCCTTCGGAGACAGAAGCAGCAGGAGAGAGGAGAGAGGAGAGAGGAGGGAGAGATGGGGGCAGCCGGCAGACAGAGGGAGGGAGGGAAAGAGAGAGCCGCCCTTTATTTTTTCCTTTAAATAAGTAGCTGGATACACGCTGATAAGTGCTAACTACCCACGACATACTTCTGTTCTGAACTCCTTTTCACTTTTTTTGTTTGTTTGTTTTCCTTCTGGGCTAAGGAGGGAACTCAAGGCCTTGAATATAGCAATGCGCTTTTACTTTAAAACATCCCGTACCTGGGAAACAGACACAAGGGATCAGGAGTTCAAAAATCAACCTGGGCCACAACAAAACTCAAGTCTCACAAGAGCCGAAGCCAATAAAAAAGCGGGGTGTGATGGGGCTGGCCCCGTACTCCCAGTCCCCGGGGGTAGGGGAGGGAGGCCGAGGCCGGAGGAAATCCTGAAAGTCCGAGGCCAGCCTAGCCGCCAGGCGTGTGACCCTTGGGTTGGACCGAGCCTCGGCGCGCTGTCGCGGCGGGATGGGCGCGGATCCTTCCCCAGCCGCACCCGTCCTCGTGCGCGGTCCAGACCCCCGACACCCACGGACCGGTCAGGGGACCCGCAGGGCACCGCCGACTGTGGGAGCCCTTCTCCAGCCTCGGGGGTAGGGAGGTTCGAACGGCGGCACCGCGCAGCGGGCTGGGCGCACGGCTGACACCCCGGGTCCTCCACGGGATTCCACGCGCCGCACCCGGGCCTCCGCCTCCCGCCCGGGCTCCAGCCACGCCCCCACGGCTTCCACGCCAACGCGAGGGCGCACGAGGCCTGGCACTGCCCGCCCCTTCCCCCGCCCCCGTGGGCACGCCGGGCTAAAGCGCGCGACTGCACCCACGGAGACCCTCGCAGCGCGATCGGTTCCTCCTCGCCGGCGCGAGCCTGGCATCGGCGGCCAAAGAAGGTCCGACCTCCCATAGGCCAGGGCCTCTCAGGGGGGCGGGCTCTCGTAGCAGAAGCTGGCTGAGGATTGGCGGAGTCTCCCCGCCGAGGGTTCGGATTGGCGGCTGCCTCGGGGCGTCCTCCGCGGAGGGGCGTGGCGGGCGCTCGGTCCTCCTTCCCGCTAGAGTGCGGGCGCCCGCGGGCGGCTGGCGGTTGTTGCCGCTTGGGACCCCGGCCCAGGCTCCCCGGGGCCGCTCGGGACGTGCGACGCTGCGGTTCCAAGTCAGGTAAACAGGCGGAGCCGGCGCGAGCGGCGCGGCGCCGAGGAGCCCCGGCACCCGGGCAGCCCCCGTGTGCCGTGCCTGGGGCTCGGCGTGGGGCCCTGTTGCGCGGCCCGCGGCCTGGAGGGCACAAAGGCTGCCCGGGGTGGGGGCGCCTCGTGCCTGCGCCTCCATCTTGCAGGCCGGGCGGGCGGGCGGGCGAGCGAGTGAGCGAGCGTGCGAGCGGGGCCGCACATCTGGCAGGCGCGCAGCGGTGCGCGCGCCGACCTTGGCGGCGGGGAGGCGGCAGGTCCCAGTGAGGAGGAAAGCCAGGGCGTCTCGAGTTTTGTCTCGAAGATCTGCCCTCGTCAGTCGTCACCTGTAAACCAGTCCCTGCAGCCTCCCCCTCTCCCGGGGAGGGGGGAATTTTCATAATGACGAGGCCAGGTTTAATGAATTCCGTGTGTTGTTTCTAGTAAGAACGAGCAGAAGATGGCCCGTGTCAGCAGGGCAGACCTCACTGGGAATTGGATGGGGTTGGAGACGCGAAAGGAGATGATAGCTCGGGACAGCTTGAGACACTTTTTGGTTTGGGCTTGGTTAAAAGAGTAAATACAAGTCACTTCTCATTTTATTCCCCTCCAGCGGTCTGGGTTATATTCTGGATTACTTAGGAGGAGTGGGAGGAATCCAGCTTCGAGTCGGGTTTTCTAAAAAAGTTTTTCTCCACCCCCACACAACTAGAAAGCATCCCCTTCTCCTGGCAGCCTCTGTTTCGACACATGGCAGGCACTGCATTGTGGTTAGCCCAGCCCCTAGCAGGAAGAAAGGTCTGTAGGGGAAGGAAACCCCACCCCCACCCCCCAAAAAACAACAAATGAAGCCAAAAGTTGAGAAAACAGGAACTTTTAAAAGCCTTTAAGTTGCTGGATTATTTTACAGGATAGGGAAGCAGCTGAGCTCCCTGAAACGAATCAGACTTCAACCTAATTCTGGGAAGGGTAACTTATCTGTTCCCTAGTTTCCTCTATAAAGTGGAATTCAGGCCCCAGCACGACCAAAAACAAAAAGGTAGATAGGTAGAATAATAGTATCAATTCCATGGATTATAAAATACTGGTGTAAATACTAAGATAAAAAGATATTTGAAGAGACCTATCAGAGCACTCAGGAGGCAGAGGAAGTGGATCTCTTGAGTTCGAGGCCAGCCTGGTCTACATAGTGAGTCCAGGATAGCCAGGGCTACATAACACAAGAGACCCTGTCTCAAAATAACAACCCCCCCCCAAAGTACCAACCTGTCAAAGTATTCATAGATTTATGCTTCTAAAGTCTTAACATCCATTCAAGATCAGTTAAATTGGGTTAAATTTTAGAGTAGTGTTATTTATTTTTGAGACAGAGTCCTGTGTAGCCTAAGCTCCTGATTTGGCATCTTCCCGGCTCAGCCTCCCCAGTGCTGGCGTTATAAGTGTAGACATCATTCGTAGTTTGATGAACCATGTGGCCCAGGCTTGTTTGGAACTAGAGCTGATCCTGATGCCCGGCTTTGACACCTCTCTCTTGATTGGCCTCTGACTTGATCACCATGTAACAGAAGAGGGCAGAGCTGTACCACTTGTCTACCTTCTGGCTAAGACCGATTATAGAAGTCAATGTATAGAGAGCCTAATGTGACTGAAAAAAAATCCTGAAGATGAGAATCACACAAATTAAGAAGCAACATATGAAATTGGGCTGTAAGTAGCTTCTTGCCTTACGTTAGCATGGTCTTTTGGAGAAACTGTCGTATTCAAAGTTTCTCACAGACATAATGACAAGTGGAGGAGACCGTTTTTGTTGCTAGGCACACAGATGTGGAGCCTCACCCCTGGGGAATACTGCCTCACTTTGGTTCTCTGGTGTCACAGGAAACAAACTGAAACATGTGTTTCCCTCTAGCTGTAACTCCGTTTGACATGCCTGTTTCTCTTTAAATTGTCTTTCCCTTCCTTACTTGTAACTCCAAAGAAATATTCAAGTATGCAATTCTGGTTTTACTGTCCCAAAATTTATCTTGACTCCTTCTAAGAATTCTTTCTGGGGATTCCCTCTGACTTCGGCATTCTGTAGTTAGCCATTAAGGGGAGCTTTTTCAGCTATCTGTTGCATGTCGTACCTGCTGTGCGGCCTGCATCCGAGAATGTAGCGAGGTGGTCGGGATAGATGACACAGAGACCGGTCGGTTGCTTTAAGAAAACTTTATGCTTCCCAAGTCAGCTTAGGAGGAGACCCCAGTCCGCTTAGGAGAGCTCTCAGGAGAAATCTCAGGAGAAGTCCCTGGCGAAATCTCTGGAGAAGTCTCTCCAAGAAAAAAGAGCTTCCCTTTTTAAGGACTTTTGCCATCCATTTACATACCATTCTTTCCACTTCTCACCCTCCTGGCTGGTGGTTTAATCTCCTGCCCCAGAATCGGGGAGACACCACTGGGGGCAGGGACAGGAAGAGGCATCTAGCCATAGGAGGTGTGGAAGGCATGGTATTTCAGTGAGCCAGCCCTTATCTGAGCCCTATCAACCTTTAAAGCACTGAATTGTTTCCAGTAAACATTACACAGATGCCTGCTCCCAGGCCGAAGGGGAAGTGGGTTTCTGCTCAAGGTCTGGTGTCCCCACAGTTGCACAGGGCATAAATACCTTTCTTTGTACTGTTCTGTGCTGGGAGTACAGTCAGCGGTCATAAAGCCATTGTAGTTGATGCTTCCTAGAAGGCTGAAACAGTCCTACTCACTACCCTGGTTTTTGAGAAACAGCTGTGATTACCAGTTTATCTGAAGACCCTGCTGTGTTGGTTCTGAGTCCAGGCTCTGAGGACTTAAGACCATATTCTCAGTAAACTCTGAGGTGATGTGGATGGCTGATCCTAGATTACTCTTTTTGTTTTGTTTTTCTTTTTACAGTTGAGTCTGCCCTCAAACTCACAGTGGTCCTCCTTCCTTAGCCTCCAGATGCCAGAATTATAAACAGGGGCCATATGTCTGACTGTAGATCACACTTGAGCAGGAGATATTAACCTGAGGGTCTGCATTTGCTTTGCTTTATTTATTTAAAGCCATGGATTGGTTTTATTTTACAATTCTGGGATTGAATAGTTCTCATTCCATAAAATATATTCCTTTTGTGTTTAACTTTTAGAATTACTGGGAAGCAGGTATTTATTTACTGTTGTTGGGCTTGAACCCAGTTCCCTTGTGCATATTAACCCTGTGTTCTCCCACTGAGCTATACTGAAAGTTTATTTCATTGTGTGTATGATTATGTGTACCACAGTGTGTGTGTGGAGGGGACAAGACAGCTTTTGAGAGTCATCTCTCCTACTATGAGTTCCTGGGATTAAACTCTGGGATTCAGGCCTGCGTGGCAAGTGCCATTACCCACCGAGCCGTCTTGCCGTTGTTGATTTGTTCTTGTAGTCCTGGGGAGTCTGGTACTGTCCAGCCCAGGCCAGCCTTGAGCTTCAGCCACACGTTGGCCTAGCTTATTTAATTCTGGGGAACGTGTGGCTCCATACTCAGCTTGTGGTCTTTGTTTTGTCTGTTTACTGATTGAGACAGGTTGTCTGTGTAGTCCTGGCAGACCTGGATATCAGTGTGTAGACCAGGCTGGCTTAGCTTCAAACTCACAGAGATCTGGCTGCCTCTGGTTCCCTAGTTCTGGGATTAAAGGCGTGCGCCACCAAACTCGCTAGGTTCTTTGTCTTGTTACTAAAAGTTGTTTGAGAAATCTAAGGTACTGGCCAAATTCGCTAGGCCAGCCTTGCAGTCTCTGCCCTCCTGCATCAGCACCTGAGTACTGGGCGTACCCTACCACGCAAGGTCCCTTGAAGGCTTGCTTAAGTGTGTAAGGCTGGAGAGACGACTGGGGCGCTGAGCGCTTTTAGAAAACTAGTGTTTGGTTCCCAGGGCCCATGTCAAGTGACTCACAATCTCCTTAACTCCGCTCCAGGGGATCTTCTGGCTTTTGTAGGCACACACATATTTGTGTGCATACAGACACATAAGTAAAAAAATAAAGTTCAGTTATGAATTTATCTAAGTTTGTGCTCTGTGTGTGTGTGCATGATTGGGTACATGCCATGGTGTCCATATGGAGGTCAGAGGACATCCTTGGATGTGTCTCCTCACCTTCCACTTGGCTTCTAAGACATCTCTCTTGTTTGCTTCTCTGATCCATGCCTACTCCAGGCTTACTTGCCCGTAAGCTCCCAGGGGCTCTCCTGTCTGTTCTTCCCATTGTCATAGGAGTACTAGAATACATGTACCCCATGTCCTGCGTTTACATGGGTGCTAGGACCTAGTCTCTAGTGGCCAGGCTGTCCAGCAAGTACTTTTACTTGCTGAGCTATTTCTCTGGCCTGCTAACGTAGTTTTGTTGTAATAAGACTCTTATGTGTGTGCCTGCTTGCCAGTATAGGCATTATGTGGGTACAGGTGCCCACTGAGGTCAGAGAGGGCCTGAGCTACACAGTACCAGACTTCCCAGGACGACAAAAACAAATCAACAATGGCAACAAGTCACTATGAGATGCCCAACGTGGGTGCTGGAAACGAAGCCCAGGTCCTCTTGCAAGAGCAGCAAATTGTCTTACCATCTGAGCCACCTCTCCAGCCCCTGTAACAAGATTCCATTTAGAAGATTTTACGTATATAAATGTTTGCCTTCATGTTTGTGAGTTTGCCATGTATATGTAGTGTGCCCATGGAGGCCAGAAGAGGGCACTAGATTTCCTGGAACAGTTTATAACTGGATGGTGTGAGCTAGTAGGTGCTGAGAACTGAACTGAACTGAGTTCTCAGAAAGGGAGGAATGGGGTAATATTATAATCTCAAAAAATAAAAGAAATTTCAAAAGGAATTGGGGCTAAAGAGATGACTCAGAGGTTAAGAGCACTGGCTGTACTAGAGGACCCAGATTCTGAGCACCCTTGGGTGCTCACACAGTCTGTAACTACAGTTGGAGTGCAGCTGATGCTCTCTTTTGACTATGTGG